GCCTATGATTGTTTCGCACGTGAGATGGAAGCACTGATCGATCAAAATGAGAACCTCATTTTGTTTATGAGTGACAATTTCGGCCACCACATGCCTGATGTGATTTTCCACACTTGAATGTCTCAAATGCTATTTCCTTGTGAATCTGATTCCATCAATAAATTTGTTTTCGAGTAAAAATTATTTTATGATTTTTTTAAAACCGTCCATGCTCTCTGCCGCACCCTGTATATGAGCAAACTGAAATAAGTATAAAAAATGTGTTTTCGTCGTAACCTTGCTACTAGTGTATATTTAATGGATGTCCAATAACTTAGCAAGCATGTATTTTCTTAAATATAATACCCTATATTTTATTGCACATTTGGATAGAGCTTCTAAAAACAAGACGTTTGATATCATATAACATATGGTTTCTATTGTCAGTTGTTTAGATATTTAGTGAAATGTTCGAAAAAATGCCCAAATTTGACTGCTCACAGTACTGATATTTTTGAAAATATTCTATATATATCTAAAGGAAATACTAAAATATCTTTCTAATTATACAGTGTATCTCAAAACGCAAAATGTACCTTTTCTCAGAAATTTCAAGTGGAACACCCTGTATACTCCTACACCGTTAAATAGTATTTTTAATTAACTTTTCTTTTGATATCAGGTTTTTTCCAACGGTTTTAAGTTACTTATTGCTAGTAATTTCAAGAAAAATTAAATATTTCTTGTATTAAACATGAGATCAAATCTTCTATCAAAAATAGCTTTTATTAACACAAAAAAAGTAGTCTCAGCTTGTTGGACACGCTACCACCACGAAGGCCTAGACAAGTTATTCCTGATCAGTTAGATTTGCCACGAACATATACTAAGTGACATATAAATCCGAACACCCAGTTTAAATGGGTTTATTTTAATAAAAGTTGGTGAATGTATTTATCTTACTGTAAATAACAAGTGAAAAAATGTTCAGCCTTATCAGTTGGACATTCCGGTTTTTATACTGCTTTTTTTTAATTCACTAACGCTCTAAAAATGAATATTTCAGCCGCAGTAAAGAATCAACGTTGGCGGATTTTGGTTCTTGACATCCTTTACGATCGGTTACGATGCCTAGAGTACGGAGACCTGTACGATTTCGTCAACTTAGTGAGTTTGATAGGGGCCGTATAGTGGGACTTCGGGAAGCTGGACTTTCTTTTCGGGCAATTGCAGTTAGAGAACAACAGACCGTGAAGATCGCCGCCTAAGATTATTGGCCTTAAGGGACCGTTTCTCCACTACCAGGTCCATTGCAAATGAATGGTTTGCAGAACACGGAAGACCTATTGGTATGCGAAGTGTTTACCGACGAATGAGAAGTTTTGGCTTGTTTTCATACCGGCCACACTGGGTCCTCCCTTTAACTCGAGAACACCGACGTAATCGCCTTGAGTGGTGCAGACAACGGTCACTCTGGGATCAGGAATGGAACAGTATTGTCTTTAGTGACGAGTCTCGATTTTGTTTAGGCATGCACGATGGTCGTGCCAGGGTTAGAAGGCGACGTGGTGAAAGGAGGAATCCACAGTTTTTTGTTGAAAGATATGTACATCACACTGTTGTAGTTATGGTTTGGGGTGCTATAGCTTATGGTTCCAGGTCACCTTTAATCTTCATCAGAGGTAACAAGAACGCGCAGCGTTATATCCACGAAGTTCTAGAACCCCATCTTTTACCCTATCTTGACACCCTGGCAGATCCAACTTTCCAACAAGATAATGCCCGACCACATGTTGCAAGAGTCACAATAGACTTCTTTCAACATAATGATGTCACATTGTTACCATGGCCACCAAGATCTCCCGACTTATCCCCAATTGAGCACGTGTGGGATATGATGGGTAGGAGATTGCTCAATTTGCAACGTCCTCCTCAGACTCTAGAAGCACTTCGAGAGGAGTTGGTGGTTGCCTGGAATGAGATACCACAGGAGGACATTGACCACCTGATCAGAAGCATGCCTAGGCGCGTTGGAGAATGCGTAGCACATCAGGGTGCATCCACACATTATTAAAGGTCAAAGGGATTTAAAGCAGTGCAATCATTTTGAAATTTTTATCATTTACTTATTATGCTTCATTAAGTACTTATACAAAATTTCATTAAAATAAAACCATTTAAACTGGGTGTTCGGATTTATATGTCACTTAGTATATTAACAATCAACGGGTGCTGAATATCTTTAGCGCGATGTCGTTGTATTGCACAATCGTTGTCAAAAACATGGTGCGATTATATAATACGAAAGGTGATCTTAATAGTTTAAACAAAGAACATTTGGTGTGGTAAACATAGCGGTAACCTACGGTGTTGCAACACAAAATGTACCTATTGTGTTCGTATCCATTAAATCCTGTTGTCAGGCATGGCTTCGAGAAGGCCGTACGCAAAGAGCAAGGGGCACTGGACGCCGCCGTAGAACAACACCGTGAAGATCGCCGCCTAAGATTATTGGGCTTAAGGGACCGTTTCTCCACTACCAGGTCCATTGCAAATGAATGGTTTGCAGAACACGGAAGACCTATTGGTATGCGAAGTGTTTACCGACGAATGAGAAGTTTTGGCTTGTTTTCATACCGGCCACACTGGGTCCTCCCTTTAACTCGAGAACACCGACGTAATCGCCTTGAGTGGTGCAGACAACGGTCACTCTGGGATCAGGAATGGAACAGTATTGTCTTTAGTGACGAGTCTCGATTTTGTTTAGGCATGCACGATGGTCGTGCCAGGGTTAGAAGGCGACGTGGTGAAAGGAGGAATCCACAGTTTTTTGTTGAAAGATATGTACATCACACTGTTGTAGTTATGGTTTGGGGTGCTATAGCTTATGGTTCCAGGTCACCTTTAATCTTCATCAGAGGTAACAAGAACGCGCAGCGTTATATCCACGAAGTTCTAGAACCCCATCTTTTACCCTATCTTGACACCCTGGCAGATCCAACTTTCCAACAAGATAATGCCCGACCACATGTTGCAAGAGTCACAATAGACTTCTTTCAACATAATGATGTCACATTGTTACCATGGCCACCAAGATCTCCCGACTTATCCCCAATTGAGCACGTGTGGGATATGATGGGTAGGAGATTGCTCAATTTGCAACGTCCTCCTCAGACTCTAGAAGCACTTCGAGAGGAGTTGGTGGTTGCCTGGAATGAGATACCACAGGAGGACATTGACCACCTGATCAGAAGCATGCCTAGGCGCGTTGGAGAATGCGTAGCACATCAGGGTGCATCCACACATTATTAAAGGTCAAAGGGATTTAAAGCAGTGCAATCATTTTGAAATTTTTATCATTTACTTATTATGCTTCATTAAGTACTTAATACAAAATTTCATTAAAATAAAACCATTTAAACTGGGTGTTCGGATTTAGTCACTTAGTATATTAACAATCAACGGGTGCTGAATATCTTTAGCGCGATGTCGTTGTATTGCACAATCGTTGTCAAAAACATGGTGCGATTATATAATACGAAAGGTGATCTTAATAGTTTAAACAAAGAACATTTGGTGTGGTAAACATAGAGGTAACCTACGGTGTTGCAACACAAAATGTACTTATTGTGTTCGTATCCATTAAATCCTGGCGCTTTTTTTAATATATGCTGATCACATACGTTTTTGGAGAAACATACTAGCTGGTATCCTCTTTATCGAACGAAGCAACACCCTTGTATTTTCTCAGACTTGGTTTTAGATATATCATTTTATAGACTTCATTCTTTGGCCGAGAAGAATTTCTTTGCGAGCTTTGATGTGTGCTTCGGGACATTATCTTGATGGAAGATTGATCTTAAGGGCATATTGTCTTCCATATAGGGTAACATCACATGCTTTAGTATATCTGTGTATACAAACTTATCCATAATGCCATCTATTCTATGCAAAGGTCCCATCCCAAACCCCGAAAAGCACCCCCAAACCATAACAGACCCGCCTCCATGTTTGACAGTGGGCAAAGTGTACTTGGGGTACAATCTTTGTCCACTAGGACGTCTAACGTAATGAACACCATCTGATCCAAACACATTGAACTTGGATTCGTCACTGAAACATACCCTTTTCCAGTCACAGATGCTCCAATCAAGATGCAACCGTGCAAATTGTAACGGGTCCTTACGGTTTTTCCTCGAGATTAGCGGCTTCTTACTCGGGCGACGTGCAAATAACTTCAAATCATTTAATCTTCTACTTATAGTTTTCGTAGAAACACTGACAATTCCTTTTGTCTCGTTTTCGGCTTTTATTTGTCTTTACGCTTTACGCTTCAGCTTCAAATTTTTGGCAATGTCGACTTGACGTTGACCATCTTTGTATAACTCAATGATCTTGGTTTTCACATCGAAAGAAATTTCTGGACCACGCGGCATGGTCTTAAAATCACTTAACACAATACTTGATGAACACAAACTAATCCTCTTCTGACACGAAACTGTACTAAACTAATGTTGAAAAGAATTTATCAACATATTTTTGTCCCTCATAAAAAAGTGCGTATTGTGTTGATTGCAGATAATGTAAAAACAAATAATTTAGTTCTTCTACTAATAACGCATTTGGTTATGGAGCAATGAAGTATGAATTTGTTTTCTAAAGGTATTTAGGTAAATATTCATATTTGTCTATATTTTGTCCATTACTGTATATCATCTAATTTTCCCGTTGTTACCGGGATCAGAAGCTTCTTAATGATCTTTGACTAATACTCAATACGTTACATATACAACCCCATACCCGTTACAACCCGCAAACCCAAGATTCAACCCCTACCAAAAAATTTCCGAAAATGATGAGGAGCCTCTGACACGTCAAAAAACAAAGATTAAGCAATTTTGTTGTGTTTTCGCCCCCAGATCCGCCATCACTAGACCGATTTAAAACCCAGCAGACAGACAGGCAGATAGACAGACCGACGGAAATGAGCGATATGATTTTTCGTTTTGTACGTCATATCATCTAACAAAATATCAGAATTTTGAAAATTTTCGCGATTACTATACTTCCTCTCCAGTTTCGGCATAGGAAGTAAAAATGGCTGAATAAATCGAATACTCGATATTCGTTTCACACCGTATCTACGTTTGCCGTTTTTTTTTTGGTCTGTTTAATCTGTGGAATTATATTTGCGAAATTCATGGACCATACAGGTATATTAAAAAACGTTTTTTTTTTCAGATAGCACCTACCATCAACCAACCATCCACTGCCAAACCGTACCAAAAGTCGCTAATTGAAAAATCTAGATATACGATCTATGAGAGCAAAATAAAACAATCTATGCAGATAAGATAATCACACTAATAACGCCATCAAAATGATAACGGACGATAAGAAGTGTTTATCGCTGCATTGATCCAAACGAATCGCCGTAGGCAGCAGAAGGTGTGGAGGATGTCTGCGCGACGCAAAGATGGAGCATCCACAAATGCAGACAGGGCTGTACTCAACTACCTGCATCTTGCTGTGACTTTGGCTGTGCTTGCACTGGCTGTTCATCTTGGTAAGTGATATTCAAAGATGATTATTTAAAAGGTGGAAAGCAACACGTTATTACGAGTATTGCCAGTTGATCCTCTACTTATGTATGTTGCCCCAGAATAAGGCGGAAATGTCTCTGATGCATTTCGTAACAGGGAGCAAAAATTCAAGGAATGATTACTAAGATAGTAGTAGTAGTAGAAGACATATATTTACCCCATTATGTAAGAACAATAATAACATAGAATGGGTAAATAAATGTTTCAATCCACAGAAGAACAATCCCTGTACATGGATCAGTTGTATGCGTTCCAAAATCAAAATAAAAAATTTTTAAAGAAAAATTTGATATGAATTGTTATTGTCTTTCTATTGCGCGTATCCATTTTGATTTCTTTTTAAAATTATGTGTATTTCGAAATTGTTATAAGCCTTTGGGTACGTGATCATATAATTTTGGAGCCAAATAGAGAAAAGATCGCTTTATTATGGTCTTATGAGGCATTTTTTGCTCGTGATTCATATCGAGTATCATGGCAATGTATCATTTTATCGCACTCACTGACAACTTTGTGATAAGGTACTCAGTAACAAAGAAAATAGAACAGTAAAAATTATATGATTGGAATGACATTTTATATACAGCCAGACATAAGTAAGAAGAAGTCGTTATTAAGTTTCGAAGTGATAACATTCGTCCTTGTTATGATTGAATATCTGTCTAGTCAAATATGAGCTCCTTGATCTGATGGACCGGAGTTTCATAATAAGAACCTATACAGGGTTATCCAAATTAAGTGTCCACCATTGGTAACTTTGTTATTAGTAAAAATATAAAGTTGTTTAAATTAGCAAACTAGTAGCATTTTTAACGCTGGTAAAAATGAGAAATAAAAAAAAAACAATTGAGAGTCGTTATTTTGATTTTTTTCAGTAAAATAACATTTTTTTAAATGGAAACCCCTGTATATTATATTTTTTTCTGTCAAAGCATCAAATTTTAAACAAAAAAGTTCATAATGACTTTTCCGCTAAAGTCAAAAATAAAGTCAAAATAACGATAAATATTTTTAATTATTTGCAGTATTATAATATTAAGACGGCTATGAAAACAACATGGCGTTCGCGATTTGACAGCATTAAGATAAGCGACAAATTGTTAAACTGGACATACTCGCAACTAGAAGGCTTTGGAAAACAATGATAAAATCAAATAATGTCAAACATTAGTGTAAATACTTGTTTATAAGCTTTATTGTGTCATTAATTTAAAGAAAAATGTTCTCCCATGAAGAAAAGTGTGATATGTTAGAATGCTATTTAGTGTGCAGAAAATCCTCCTTGAGAGCAAGAGAATACTACAGTGAATTATATCCCGCTCGCATTCAACCGTATGAACGATATTTTCTGAGACTTTATCGAAAATTTAGGGGCAACGAAAATGTTTTTTCTAAAACAAGGGCAAAAAAAGAATTCATAATAAGCGAGGCCACGGAAATTGCAGTTATTGGATATTTTGAAGCTTATCGTGAGAATTCAATAGCAGATATTCTCAAGGACTCTAATTTCAGTTATGGTACTGTTCAAAGGATTTTAAAAAAATACAAATTTATTCCGTATAAGTACCGACCAGTTCAAACGCTTTTGGCAGGGGATCCAGAGAGAAGACTTGTTTTTTGCCATTGGTATCTTAGCTTCTGTCGCCAAAATGTAAATAACTTTCGTTACCTTTTATGGACAGATGAATCAAATTTTTCAAATTCTGGAATGTTTAATAGAAAAAACCACCATTATTGGTCAAGAGAAAATCTTTTGTTAGTACATCCAAGAGGCCCACAAGTCCGTTTCAGTTTCAACGTTTGGTGCGGTATAATTGGTTCAAAAATTGTTGGCCCGTTCTTTTATGAGGGAACCCTAACTGGTGAAAGATATGTGGAATTTATGTCAGAAATTCTGACTAATTTCTTAGACGAATTGGATCTTATAAGTAGACATCATCTGCATTTTCAGCAAGATGGCGCACCTGCCCACAACTCCAGAGGTACTTATCATTTTCTAAGTACTACTTTTAATGATCAGTGGATAGGAACAAATGGCCCAATACAGTGGCCTCCCAGATCACCAGATCTAAACCCACTTGATTACTTCTTGTGGGGTTACTTAAAGAACCAAATTTACAAGCGAAGGTACGATAACCTTGACGCGTTAAAGACTGCAGTTAGGGAAAAGATAACCCAGATAGATGGTAGGACCATACTTAAGACAGTTCGAGCAGTTGAAAAACGTGCCCAAAAATGTATTGAAGAACAAGGTGGTGTTTTCGAGCATCTTCTTTAAAAAAAATTGTTATTGTATTTTGTAAGATTATAAGTTGATGTTGAAAATAAAGTTTGTCGATACAATTTAATTGTTTCAGATTGGAGGCCATAACTTCAACAATTTGTAACCTAGGAGAAAAGTTATTGTAAGCTTTTTTGTTTAAAATTTGATGCTTTAACAGAAAAAAATATAATATACAGGGGTTTCCATTTAAAAAAATGTTATTTTACTGAAACAAATCAAAATAACGACTCTCAATTGTTTTTTTTATTTCTCATTTTTACCAGCGTTAAAAATGCTACTAGTTTGCTAATTCAAACAACTTTGTATTTTCACTAATAACAAAGTTACTAATGGTGGACACTTAATTTGGATAACCCTGTATACGCCATTCGTAGTCCTTTTGCGTCCAGACAAAACACAACATGCCCGAAAGCGCGATTGTACAGGCTCGTATTTACTTCAATGGTCTTGGAATAATCTAACAATATAAATGATTATTTTTATAGAAAGAAGTGCACATACTTTTCACAATCCTTTAATCGCTGGGAGGTCCTGAATCATCGTCCGAATGGTTAATATTAATTATAACAGTTTCAATTTGAAAATGGATCATATTGTCCAGATCCCACATCTTTTTTTCGATTGTCTGTTGAACGTGACGGATGCAATTTTTTCCAATGCTTTGCTGTCACTCTGTTGACAGCTTCATGAAACAAAATGTTCACGTCAGAAAATTAAATGTCGTATTTTTTGAAGCCACATAGTTTTTCATATTTACCCAAATCATTTCAATCATTTATTGATTTTAAATAATTTCTTCTCCATAAAATAATCTCTTGGCTGTCCATCAAAATACTATTCTGCCCCGATTTCTATACTCAAAATGAAGTTCTTTGAGTAAACTATAGAATGCGGTCCTTTTGAAAGTAGGCAAGTCTCCATCACTATTAACCTCCTTTAATAATTTGTCTATGGTGGGAAGTTAATTCCTTTCAAAAAATTGATGGACTTTGCGTCTGCTGGCATTCCGATCAAAGTTTCAACTGTATCCAACAGCTTCGTGTAATACTCGTTCAGCCTCTTGGGTGGGGGAGACGATATTTTGTTTTTTTTATATCTTTTAAGAATGATGAAAATTGTATTAGGATATAAGCTTGTTTGGTTCGCCACATCTCTTTCAGTATCATGAATTTTCATTTCAGGATGTTCTAAAATAAACGTTAAGGATAATTTCTTTTGCCTGAACATTCAAATGTCCCTTCTTGAGACGTTTGGCTGAAGGAAGCATTGGGAGAAGTACTCTCAGTTTCATCTGCTGTATCCGTAGACGACATGCTAACGTTTAAACACGCGCTATGTATGCACCGGAAATGAACAGCAACTTCCGGCGATACCCTGAGCCTGGGTTCTATCCTGTCGAATTCTAAACTGCGTAGTTTTATGACCGAATGGCCAATAGCTATTGCTTAAGCGGCTGCCGCTTTGCCGCGCTCCATCTTTGTTGTGCCGGGGCGTAAATCGACTACGAATAGGGTATAGGGTGTAATAAGCCTTTATGTGCCTCGGCGTGTTATAGAGCCCACGTTGGTGGCGCAGACCACAAACGTCCACTTCACGCTATAGCTACGTAAATAAGTATAATGATTTGTTTCAGGCGATGGAGGTTTCGCTTCCAGCATAGACAAGATCACAAGGAACTTGGACGTGGCCCTTTCAGATCTCAGCGATGACAAGATTCACTACAACCCCTACAATTCAACGGCACATTATGTGTCGGATACAGCATTCAACGCCAGGGGCATGGCGGGGTTATATAACCTCACCGGAAAGGTCATGGACGGCGTGCTGGCCAGAAATTTCTTACCGAAAGGTAAGTCGGAAACAGAAGCGATAAATTACCATTTCTTTACTATGCCAAAACTGGCGAGGAGGTATATTGTAATCGCGAAAAATTTAAATTAAGATATGTTTTTTGGATGTTATACAACATGTAATGGGTGATTTTTTTGCTAGTATCTTTTTGGCAACACTGTTTTTGACAGATGACGCGTGAATCGTGTCTTGGGTCATTGTCAAACTTGTTCAGTTTGGTCTATAATTTAACCATGAATCGACTTACGAACGAACAACGCTTGCAAATTATTGAATTTTACTATCAAAATTCATGCTTCCAATTTATGGGCAATTTGGTCGACCTACTGAGGGAGCTATTCGGAAGCTTGTGACTAAATTTCGAACCTAGTTTACATTATTGGACATTAAACCACGAACACGCAGACGTAGAGTGAGGACTGAGGAAAATATTGCGGCTGTATCCGCCAGTGTTAGTGATGACCGTGAAATGTCGATTCGCCGCCGTTCGCAGCAATTGGGCCTCTGTTACTCCACTAGGTGGAAAATTTTGCGACAGGATTTGGGTGTAAAACCTTATAAGATACAGCTGGTGCAAGAATTGAAGCCACACGACCTCCCACAACGTTTACAATTTGGTGATTGGGCGCTGGCAAAGTTGGAGGAAGATCCACATTTTTATCGAAAAATTGTGTCCAGCGACTAAGCTCATTTCTGGTTGAATGGGTACGTTAACAAGCAAAATTGACGCATCTAGAGTGAAGACCAGCCAGAAGCATTGCAAGAGCTACCAACGCATCCCGAAAAAATCATTGTTTGGTGTGGATGTATGGGCCGGTGGCATCATCGGGCCGTACTTCTTCAAAGACGACAATGGCCGGAACGTAACTGTGAATGGCGAGCGCTACCGTGCGATGATAACAAACTTTTTTTGCCCAAAATGGAAGAGCTGGAATTGGCTGACATGTGGTTTCAACAAGACGGTGCCACATGCCACACCGCACACGAAACAACGGCCCTATTGAGAGGCGAGTTCGGTGAACAGTTTATCTGACGTTTGAGGCCCGTCAATTGGCCGCCTAGATCGTGTGATTTAACGCCGTTGGACTATTTCTTGTGGGGCCATGTTAAGGCTAATGTCTACAGAGATAAACCAGCAACGATTGACGCACTGGAAGCCAATATTGAAGCATTTATTCGTGAGATACCGGCCGATATGTTGGAGAGAGTGTGCCAAAATTGGACCTTGCGCATGGGCCATCTAAAGCGGAGCCGCGGCCAACATTTACATGAAATAATCTTTAAACATTAAATTATATCGACCGTTCTATCGACTCAAATAAAGATTTAATCGTTTTTTCAAATTTTTTGTGTTTTTTTTTGAAAATCAAATCCTATACCTCTTGAAAAATCACCTGTTACATCACGAAAAACCGTGTCACTTATTTCCGCCTATCTGTCTATAGGTCTGATGATCTGTCAGAAACATTTATATATTTTAGTAATCTTTGGATATCAGGAGTACGTATGTATCACTTCAGCGTTCTGCGATGCTTTTAAAAACGATGACTTAATTGGTTCTCTCTCAGACATTGTTTGGAAGGGATGAAACTATAATGAAGAAGCTGCTGATCTCAGTGATACGCCACACATATTTGCCATGGAAACAAATGTGATAGATTTGCTTATTCAGGGTGATTCACAAGTCGTATCCAACAATGAAACACCATATAGAGGACCGCATTTTACCGCGTAATTACGATTCGATTTCGCCTTTTGAAACGATTTGTCTCATCCCTTCTCTTTGAAATCTCCATCGAAGGCGTAGCAAGTATAGAGTCAATCTACTTGATGCCATTTTTTTTTAGTTAAATTGGTACTATGAGCCGAGCGCTATCGGTTCGAGAAGTTAAAAAACAAACTTAGAAATACATATACCTTTCAGAAGCTGTATAGATTCCGTTTCATTTTGTTTTGAAATATGAATGTTATTTTTTTAAAAGGTCTGAGGTATTAAGTTGGTATTTTAGATGATGAAGTCGATGCATGGATATGTGTACTTTATAATCCTCACGATCTGTATCTACTGTGATCCGTATAATCAGTATTTGCTGATCATTCCGTCAAGGTCAGTGGATTTCTACGTAACCTTATACAGCAATTCCTAAAAATCCCCAATATTGTACACGAGGGCCATGCCACTCCTGCGGGCGCCTGTGGTTTCATGGTTAATAAATGAAGACACAAATCTGTGCCCCAGAGCCAGACTAGGTTAAGTCCATTTTTGTCAAAATAGTTTAATATGTCAAGCTTATGATAATATTGTGAATTGTCATTTGCTACATGCAGCGTCCATCTATCTTTAATAATAAGGAAGTAACGACTTTTTAACTCATATAAAGTCGTATTCAATACAATGCAAGAAAAAGATTTCATATATAATTAACTCAAAACTACTTATTTGGACTTAACCTAGTCTGGCTCTGAGGTACAGAAACGGATAAAGGTGTCATGTATTTTTTTTGCATTAAATCAACAATAAGGAGTGATTCTTTCATTCTGTGATTACTTTGTTGCAAACACAAGATAATAACAAACTACTTGAACTAAATATTTAAAATGCCGATAAAGTAAGCAGTCACAATAAAAAATGTTCAAAGTCAATTTTCTCCATACATTGATTTTGTTACATGATAACTTAATCCACTTGTGTCTTCAAATATCACAATCCATGCTAAATACTGACGGATCTTAATAAGCGATCGTCTGACAGTCGCCTTAAATATTGAGATCTCTATCTTTGGGTAGTTAAGGTTTTCAAAATGGGTAGAGGAAAGGTTATTCGTGAGAAAATTCGGTTATTGATAATTAAATTTTTTAATTCTGGGAAGTCAAACTCAGAAATTGCAACTTAGACATATCGCGGTACAGTGTGAGAAATATTGATAGAAGATATAACGTAAATGGTTCAGTTAATATTAAGCCACGATATGTGAAAAAAAGTAGTATCACAAATTCCGACCGAAGAGCATTAAGAAGAATAATCGTGAAAAACAGGCGTGCCAATTATTTACAATTAAGTGCTCTGTTGAGTGACGCTGTTGGAAGGAGAATTTCGAGGTCCAAAACTCATAGAGAGGCCCACAAACTGGGATTTAGCACTTGCAAGGTAAGTTTTCTTATAAAAAAAGTGAAGTAAAATCCCTAAAGTTGCACAACTTGTTTATAGGCCAAAGAAAAGCCACTATTAACTCACTGCAAAAGAAAAATCGGCTTAGATGGGCTAAAGAACATAGACAATGAACACCTCAACAATGATGTGCAATACAATGGAGTGATGAGGCCCGATTCGAAGTTTGTGTTGGTGACAGACGCAGTAGAGTTATTCGCAAAAAAATGAAGCATTCCATGTTGACTGTCTGAAGAGAAAAGTGAAACTTCCAGCTTCCATTATGGTCTGGGGCAGAATGTCATCAAAAGGAGTAGGAAAACTTCATTTTATTGATGGAAATGTGGATACAAACAAATATTTGGCAATTTTAGAAGAATCGCTTTGACCAGTGATGGAAGAATGTTTGACATCCGGCCAAGATTTTGTGTTTCAGCAAGATGGTGGAGCGTGCCATACCTAAAAAAAAGCTATAAAATGGATGGAAGAAAATAATGTACCACTTTTGAAATGGGTTTCTAGTAGTCCAGATCTGTCACCTATTGAAACTTTGTGGCACGAGATGAAAAAGATTCAACGACAACATCCTGCTCGTACAATCACCGAACTGAGACAAAAGCTTCAAGAAATATGGGATTGTTTTACACCAAATTTTTGCCAAAATTTGGATATTAACACAATGCCCCAAAGAATTTCAGCCGTAATAAAAAATAAAGGTGATGTTACCCAATGGTAATCTTTCAATTGTTGCTTTGTTAACTTCGCGCATTTATTCGCACATTCTTTATTTGTTCAGATGCTCTATTAGTTATAGGTATAAGTGATTTCAAATATGCATTTTTTACGACTAGAGTGTATCTAAAATGTTTTTGAGAAAATGAATTGTTTTAGAAGTAAATAGTTTCGTCATGTTTAGTTTATAAAGGCACATTTTGGTACAAATCTTGAAGTGGGCCAACTGAAGTGGGAAGCGGCTCGTATTTACTTCGTCATGATTATTCCTGTAATTTAAAAATGTTTATTTACTCCTTCAAATATCGCGGTGCTTGTTCGAGAATTCAAAATGCGGAACTCACGACGAGGCGTGAGAGAAAAATTCTGGAAATCTTATTTTTTTGGGCCAAATGATAATGTTGTATTGTGAAGATGAAATAACGGCTTTAAGTTCGTCTATAACTTTCAATTTCTTTATTTCTCAGTAGACTGTGAGCGAGGAATCCAAACAGACCCACTCCCGTTCCTTATTTACTTTTTGTTTCGCGAAGATGATATGACAAAAAATAATGAATCATACATTTTTTATCAAAGAGTTTTATACAATTGTCGCGTTTCATTGTTTAGATTATTTACGCGTGACCGTGAAATTTCTTATCGTTTAAAATATTTGCAACGGTACAGTGAACCCGGAAATCCAGATGTATCACTTTGAAACTAAAATTCCATTTTACTTCCACCCGTACTGGCGGGGAGGTATTGTGACATTTCGAAAACGAGATATTATTTTGTTGGATGTTATATTGGATGTACATCACGAAAAACCATGTCACTCATTTCTGTCGGTGGCGACTGAGAAAAACAAAAAAAAATTTAAATCATTCATTTTTTATGTTTATCGGGATCCTGATTATTTAAAAAAGGGGTAAAAAACTTGTGGTGGGGAGGGCATATCTCAATTTTAAGTTTTTGATGCTGGTACATTTATACCGCTCCCAACAATGGTGATTCTACGCACCTATCAAACATACAGTAGAACCCCGATTATCCGAAATAATGTGAACCCAAGTGCTTTCGGATAATCGAAATTTCGGATAAAATGGAAATAAATATTTAGACTATAATAAATAATGCTT